TTTAAGCCTTAGCTATGGAGCAAATATTTTTTTACATAGTCTCTAAATATAACAAAAAAAAAATACTATGATTATATGATCTTTCATTACAAAGCTCGTATAACCTTCGCTTACTTTTATAAATTCCTACTGTGAATCATACATTAACTTACTTGCGCGAATCACGTATTTGCAAGCTCAAGTCCGTTCCATCTACATTGGTATTGGTACCACGTAGAAATAAAGGGGTCAATAATTAGCTTATATATTGTAAAGATATTAAGGGTTATTCATGAAAAAGTACTATACTGAAATTCTTCATAACCTGTAGATCATAGAAATAAAATGCGGCGTGACTTATTTTGGACTGAACAATGTTTTTGTCAACTTTGTATGGGGACTGTGAACGTCTCAATCAATCAATTACGCGGAGGCCATGGGGCCAGGAAAAAAACGAGCACTCGGCAGCACCAGTTTTCCTAACCCCATCGGCGGATCTGGTCTGTGGCTCCGCCACCTACCAAATTTCGGCTGCGAAGGGTAGAGAGAGTGGTTTTTTTTATAGGATAAGGTGACAAACGAGCACACAGTCCACCAGATGGTAAGTGGTTACTGTGACCCATAGACATCTACATCTATACTCAATAAAGACTCAAGATTGTCACCCGTGAGGACTAAGATGGAATGCCTCTGTTCCAGTAAAAAGAGTCTTCAGTTCTCTACATTCACACGCGGTGCCTCACAATACGTGAGTGGTGCATCGCTATACCAACACTCCTCTTCCTCCGCTGCTGCGGTAGGGGATAGGACAACCTTCTCTCCGCAGCCCACCAACACATCCGAAGTGGGCTTGCTAAGCCCACTCGGAGTGTGGTCATCTCGGGCTGGCCCTTTACCTCGAGCCAGCCGTGTGGGTTCCTGAGTTCACCGTGGGTGACCAAGCCACGGCTGCTCAGCCCCCCCGCCCCGCTACGGTAATGCGAGAACGCATTCGGTGAGGGGTGTGAGTGGTGGAAGCCCTGAGCCAACCCATGCCCAAGGACATGGACCGCAGTTGTATTCTGTTAATTAACATTAATGGTCCTTGAGTACTTTCAACAAAACCCTGAAGAAAGTACTCGGAATGCTGCATAATGATTCAGCGTGTTTCAAAAGATGATGGAAGCTACTAGACGAAGATGTTTTGCACCCATATCTTTTTCGACTTAATGGGTTGAATATTGGGTTAAAAATGGTATGGGTGTTAAAAATGATATGGGTGCATTTTATCGCCAGCCGCATTAATTTTAGCCGTGACCGAAATTCAGTTTGTATGACATTATTATTATAAGCCAGTGTTTGTCTATAATCAGCTTGTTGGCAAGTGATTTATGAAACCCTCGAGATATAGCTAATTAATTAATTCATACCTTTCAATATATGTAATGAATTTAATTTTATACTTGGCTAGGCGAATTCGGGAAAGCCCGGGATCGAGGTGCGAAGAATATTAACGTAAACTAGCGACTTTGTTTCTTGAGTGATGAGAAACGACAGCCTGTAATTATTCTGATTCTCTATAGTTCGTTATTCTTGTATAAAAATGAAGGAGGGGAGACCGAGGAGAATTGTGACAGAGGAGAATTGCAAAACGGTATAATTACGGTTCTAATCAAAATATTTTTTTTAATCCGGAGGTGTTTGGCCCACTGATCTTATCTCATTTCCAAGCAGAGTGGCCTAAAACTGTGTTAAAATTGCTTTCAAAGTTCGTGGTTTCAATTATAACGACATATTTACAATAAAGTTTCAACAGCTTTAAATAAGCCAGCACGTTTTCTTTCAAAATGGAATAATTTTCATATAAATTTGTAAAATGTCAATCAAAGTGGATCAAGTGACACATATTTTTTTTTGTTTTTGCACTTTTAATACTGTTTGCATTAAAGCAAGTACGCAAAGGCGTAATGGAAGTAAGATCGGCTTTGATTAATCACTTGAACTCTTTGGACTTCACGAAAAAGATAAATAAAAATTCACACATTATTCACCCAATATAATTCTGGTTGCTAAACCAAGCCTCCACAAGCGTAAAAGATGTGAGCATCACTTTTCCCGTACGAGGACACAATTTTTTTACTATTTGCCTGCAGATCGAGTTTTCAGTAGAGTGGAGAAAGAAATACGCATACACCCATTCTTGTTTACCAAAGTAAAATATTTTAATATGAGTACAGGAAATGTGAAGTTATTGAATGATACAATACTTTGACAGGAATAAGAGAGCTCAAGCGTTTAAAAATCTCGTATAGGGACATTTGCATACAAAAAATTCCAAAAAGTAAGTTTTTCCCCAAAATTTTGATTGCAAATATATTGTTACGCAATATGTTTGCAATTTTATGATATTTTTTCTCATATGCTTTAGTTTTTCAAGTTTCATAGCGTGGTATTGTTTTTTGTATTGACATCGTGTTTAAAAATTAGGTAATTATGAAATTATTCTGACCGGTTCACGATTTTTTGTAACAAGGCGAGTTGTGACAGCATGCTCGACGATGTTGTTACTAAATCTAATGTGTTCTCGCCAGAATCGCTTAGGCTGTTGCCAAAAGCTTCACCAAGAAAAAGGAGCCAACAGAGCAGACGCAAGATTAAACTTGCTGTGCTAACTGACACACCCACCAAGAATTCAATTGCTACCATAGAAGCCAGTAGAAAGGTAAACAATGTGTAAAAGTGTGTTTTAAATGAGAAAAAGAAGAGGCCAAAAAAATGAAGAAGTCTAATAAGACAAGTAAAGTTGATGAAGAAGAGCATGAAGACGAAGAAGATGTAGAAAAAATATTTTTGCTTATGTTGCCTTGAGCCCTATGCCAATAGCAAAGCAAAAGAGAAGTGGGTTCAGTGCTTCGAATGCCAAGGCTGGTCTAACGTCGCTTGTACTGGCGGTGAGCTTTAATACGTCTGTCATAATTATTTGTCAGATTAGATTTTGATTTTAGGTGTGATTTTTAAAATGGATCTCAAAAGATGCCACGCTTTATTGTTTAAGATACTGATACTTTTTATGTCGATGTTAAATGTTATTTTAGTTCGTACAGATACGACAAATGATGATTAGTTTGCTGTAAAACGAATGTGTAATTTATTTATCATGGTATGCTTTATTCACCAAATAGTCTAGAGAGTTGCGCCACGAGGAGTAGTTTCTGTTTATCAAGATTTTCTCAGAAACATTGAAACTTTCATTAATCTTGATGATTATTTCTTAAAGTGTATGTATTGAGCTACATTGACTTATAGAGCTTAAAGATTTAGAATGTTGACTGAGATATCCGTGCTGAATCGCATGTGGACGAGCACCAACATCATTCTCAGCGTACTAGCGGACAGATCGGATTCACCAATGTTAGGGCGTTGGATAAATCTGCATACTGTTAGACACGCCACCACCTAGAGTAGTATTTTAATTTTAATTTTATTTAATGTTAATATTTATTAATTTTAATTTTCTTTAATGTTATATGTATATAGATTATAATTTTTTTAACAAATATAGATAATTGGTCTGAAATAAATGAATTATTATTATTGGGGTTATCTATAAAGTTTTCTCATCTGGTTGGGCTGTTTAAATATATAATTATAAACAAAATATATAAACTTACATAAATATCAATAAAATAAAATAAATACATAAAAAATACATAAATATATAAAAACCCAACCAGATGGAAGCCCTCGGCAGGGGAGACCAAACGGCCGAGGGTTAGGGGGAAAGGGATAGAAACCGGCGGATGATGCGGGCGGTATCGAGGAGCACCGCCTTCTGCATTTCAGCTTGGAGCGGTCCGTCACGGAGTCCCAGTCGCCTCAGATGACCCGAGAGGCTAACTGGGATTATGCCGTTCGCAGAAACGACCACAGGAATAATTTCGGCCGGCAGACCACCCCACATGTCGGTCACCTCGTGAGCCAGGTCCAGATATTTTGTCAGCTTATCTGTTTCGGCTTTCACGAGGTTCTCGTCATAGGGAATGGTAATGTCGACCAAAAATATCCTTGACTGTGCCCGGTCCATCAGCACAATATCAGGCTTATTCGCAAGAATAGTCCTGTCTGTGATGATGGCCCGGTCCCAGTAGAGCCTGGCGCGGTCATTTTCGAGCACGGCTTCCGGCAAGTACTTATAATATGGCAGTTTCCGATCCACGAGACCGTATTTCAGAGCGAGCTCCTGGTGTAGAATCCTGGCTACTAGGTTTATTATTATTATTAAAATTGTTAAAACTCACCTCGGTCTCCCTACCCAAAAAAAGATGAGTTGAAACTGCAATTTTCTTAATAAATTGTATAAAACAATATAAACGGACATTATCATTGTGATTTATTTAGGATGTATATGTATATATTCCGTCGATTAACTGCATCTTTCTGATCTATACATATATAATAACAGTTGAATAAAAATATATAAACAAAATAAATATAAAAACGTGTTAAAGTTGGTAAAAAGTTACTTTGCGTACATTACATTCGACACGCCTCTACACGAGGCATCTCGTGTAGAGGCGAAATACGTGTTGTATTGTTGTCGGTGGTGTGTCTTTCCTAGTGTAGTGGCGTTTGGAGTAGTGGTGCTGGGATTAGTGGTGACGGGGATAGTGCAAGCAATAGACGGAGGGCGGGAGGTGCTCTTCAAACCAGATTAAGACACATCATTTTATTTTATCGAGCGGATGTACGCGAAGTAACTTTTTACCAACTTTAATATAATGGACTTCTGCAAAGTAACGCCTGATTCTATTAATTATAATAAAAACGTGTATTAAAGAACGGTCGAATATATTAACCTCTCTTTTCGAAGTGGGTTATTCAAAATTAATTAACGTCATGTAAACGTATGATTTCATTAGTAGATATTTTATCGCCCACTCCACATAAACAAGGGCTTTAATGGGCTCTCAAAGTAATCTCAATTGCCTAAGTAAAGAGCATGTATATAAAACACTGATGACGCTTTTGATAGATACATGAAAATGTTAGGACGAGCAGCGCACAACATGGAGTGCTACAAGTTGGTGTTCTCCTTTTTGGTACTTGGGGCTTGGGCTTATGCCGTTGAAGGAAGAGTTGTCAATGGTCCCAGACACCATACGTAAGTTTAATTTTGACTTTTTCAAATAAAATTATTAGGAATGATATTAACATCTATCTATTGTGTTGTATTAAATTAAAATTCCGCTTTATTAAATTATAATATAATAAAGGAACAGTTTTTTTTTGTTTAAACACGCTAATCTTTGGAGTTATCAGTCTGATTTGAAAAATTCTTTTTGTATATTAGGTCGGGGAAAAAGTTTCTTCATATTTTATATAAAATTTTAAGACATTTTTTCGAACTTTAATTACATTTACTCGTAGTAATTATAATATATATGTGCGATTTTGTTCGATAACTTGTTGCCATCTTGTAGGTAGTGACATACCTAATTCCGTTGCTGTAGAATTCTTGGGATTTTTGATGAAAAAAAATGTGGCGGGTCTTTATTCTTTTGTCGATGTAACATGAATTAGCACCATGAAGCAAAGGGAAACACATCGAAGCCTAAATCGCGCTATCAAAGTTTCGAAATTAAAGCAGTATATATAGAATAGCTCCTAACTACCACTCGGAGCGTTGGCCGCTCCCCGGGCAGAACATCTTGCCCGGCGGGAGATCTCCCCTTTTCCTTCCACCAGCCACACTTCACATTAGGAGGATTAATAAAAATGAGTGAAATAATTTGCCGGTAACTGTTTTTCCCTCCGTCCCAATACAATCTCGGCGTCTTCAAAGCAAGAGTGAATAGGCTTTTGTTACGCTAAGACAGTGTGATTTACCATCTAGGGTTTCATTACCACCTACCACCAAATGATTGTGGGTTTATAATACGTAAAAAAAAACTATAATTTTTATAATTTCCTTTTACAGTATCTTCGTCGAGCAACGTAATAATGATACGAAATGTATTAGAAATTCAGTGACGAAACCAAACTGCTTTAATACCACTGACCAGTATTTGATACCGCATCCCGACGACTGCCACCTGTTCTACTACTGTATAGGCAATCTGCCAGTCTGCATGGAGTGCCCAGCCGGTCTCCAGTTCAACCCATCCAAACACGTGTGTGATCATTCACAAGATGCTGGATGTGGTCGTCCACCTACTCGCGTACCAGAGGCCCCATGATAACATTTGTACGTTACATATTGACATGTATTTGTAAACATGGACATATTATTGATTAAAATGCATAAGAAGTAAAGTATATTTATTCATTTATACACTACTAAACTTTTCCCGTGTGTATATTTTGTAAACTATTTAGTAAAAAGGACTAGCTGGTATCCGACGTGTTGCTGCCGCAGACGAAATAATTGTGCAAATATCGTTTTAAATTTGAAAGAGTTATATATCTCTATATATAAAAATTACGTGTCACGTTGTTTGTCCGCGATGGATTCCGAAACCACTCAACTGACTTTAATAAAATTTTGTAAATGTGTATTGCTTGCTCCATCTTGAAAGACAGGAGAGTTTTTATCCCGATAAGTGACCCTCAATATTTTTATTGCGACTTTAAAGATTTTTTAAAGGACAAAGGATCGTCGGAAAGTGCAGAACAAAGTTTGCCTGGCTGGCTAGTCTTTATATATAAAAATTACGTGTCACGTTGTTTGTCTGCGATAAACTCCTAAACTACTGAACTGATTTCAATGAAATTTTGCACACTCTGTGCAGTTCGATCCAACTTGAAAGATAGGATAGTTTTTATCCTAATAAGTGACAATCAATATTTTCGAATCTAAGGATTTTTTATATGAAGGATTGTCGAAAAGGGCAGAACGTCTGCCTGGTCACCTAGTAACTATATATAGTGTAATTAGCAATGATAACACAGACATTGAAGTTGAATGATATACTCGCGCCACCTACTGTAAGTGCCTATAACGCAAAGGTTAGGAAGTGGAACCAATAAGCTGACAAAATTTTAAAACAATCTGATGGACGGTATAGCAGCGCGTAAAATACTAACAAACAAAATTAATTTTCATATATTAGAATTACAATTAGGAAAATATAGGGTAATATAATATAGAGTATTAACAAAGCAGTAGTATTATTTGAACATGTATCACACCTAAATCCGCCAAGACTTCAGCTAGAATTTCATTAAAGTTTATAAAAATGTGGATGTCTATGGGTCAAAGCATCCACTCGCCATCAGCTGGGGTGTGTTATTTGTACTCGTATCCCTTACTACGTACAAAAACATTCCCCGGGGGTTAGCGTCAACTATGTATTTATTGATTTCTTATATTTACGCGAAGACTACACATTAAATGAAACTAATTTTTACGGATTTTATCGCGTTTAATTTAACTATTTAATTCCCGACGGGGGGGGGGGCACTGAGGTGTTTGACGTCCCGACGTCATAAATAGCCCGGCTACCTTCAGTTTTTAAATATTAATTTTAGGTCCGATCTACGTAGAATGAGCTTACAGTATCTTGAAGTCTTGCAGTGGTATGCTTGGGTTTGGATTTAATTTTATTAATATAGGATCCCAAGCAGATGGCAGCACCCATCCATCTTCTCTATTGAAATTAGGATGTTTTTTAATTTCAATAACCTCGCGAATCATCCTTGGTAGGAATCGGTGTTCTTTTGCGAGGATTTGTGGTTTATCAAATCTAATATAATGGCGGGGACGATCTAAAACATGTTCACACACTGCAGACTTTCCGGAACGTCGGTGCTTCAAGTCAGCTATATGTTATTTTACGCGGGTTTTAATAGATCTTTTTGTTTGTCCTATATAAGAGAGACCACATTCACAATCCAGCTTGTACACTCCTGCATCTAGTAGAGGGATATGACGTTTGTTTGTCAATCCGAAATCCATCCCGAAGGTTGTATGGGTTACCGAAAATACACAAACCAAACGCTCCATTACGTACCATAGTAAGCCAGATCGATTCACCAACTTATAAGTTGGCTCAACACTTGGCAGAAATATTGTCACCACTGAGAGGACACACCAGACCACACGCAAAGGATTCCTACCATTTTGTTAGTAAGATAAAAGACCTATATCTCGCTGATAATGAAACTATGGTCAGTTTTGATGTTCAGTCACTATTCACATGCATACCAGTTGAAGACTGCATCTCAATTGTAACTAGGAAGTTAGAAGATAACAACATGCCTACAGAATATGCAGTATTACACAAACACTGCCTTACATCTGGCTATCTATTGTGGAAGGAAGAATTCTACAAGCAAGTTGATGGTGTGGCGTTGGGCTCGCCTGTATCTCCCGTAGTCGCCGACATATTCATGGAGGGCTTCGAGGAGAAAGCCCTTCTTACTGCTCCTGTAAATTCAAGATTGTACAAGCGGTATGTAGACAATACTTTCACAATTTTACCATCTGACAAAGTAACTGAATTTTTAGACCACCTTAATTCCATAAACTCTAACATACAATTCACAATGGAGTTAGAGGCAAATAATTCTTTAGCTTTCCTAGATGTTTTAGTCATCCGAAATCCTGATAACACTATTGGTCACACTGTATATAGGAAAAAGACCCATACTAACCGATATTTAAATGATGAATCGCACCATCATCCATCACAGTGGGAAAATCTTTGTTTCAGAGGGCACGAGGGATCTTTGAAAGTAAAAAAATTCTGGCCACCGAGCTTCAGCACGTTGAGCAAGTATTGCAAGACAACAAGCTTCGGATCCCGCGCCTACGTCACAGTGACCGAGTGAAGCCGGCCACAGTTGAGCGTGTGCCTGCTGTACTACCCTATGTCAGAGGAGTCACAGACAAGATTGGCTACATCTTGAAGCGAGCTTCCATTAAATCATACTTCAAGCCGCCGAAGAAGATTAGTCAATTTTTACCATCCTTCCAGTGTCATATCCCTCTACAAGATGCAGGAGTGTACAAGCTGGATTGTGAATGTGGTCTCTCTTATATAGGACAAACAAAAAGATCTATTAAAACCCGCGTGAAAAAACATATAACTGTACTGCGTAGATCGGACCAAAAATTTATATTCAAAACCTGAAGGTAGCTGATGACAGTCCCTCAGTCAGTCCCACCTCCTCCGTGACCACGGGTTCTGTAAAGTACCCGAAACGTCGGGAATTAAAAAGTTAAATTAAACGCGATAAAATTCGTAAAAATTAGTTTCATTTAATATGTATTTATTAGTATTATAATAAACTATAAAGGTTTTGTTTGATAATTTTTTTTAACTTTATCATAAATAAACCTTGTGTATTTTCTGAGATTTAGGAAAATCGTATACATTGTCTCATGAATGGATAGCTCACATAGGTGGTAGGTGCGAGACTTACCTCTATCTGCCGCCAATTTCGCCAATCCAGTATAAAAATAAAATTCACAAGAGCCGTAGCATTCCACTGTTGTTTAAAAGGTCTAGAGGAGAAGCGTTGCTGGACTAGATGCGTGAAGCATCCATTTGCTATCTGCCTCTTTGAGTAGATTGTCGCTCAAATGTGTTTGGATCAGCGCGTGATGTTGATGATAGTCATCACTGTCCTTCCTTAGTATATTATAAATCAGAAATGAAAATAGGTTTTTTAATTTTAACAGCTTTATTGGTACATGTATATTTGGGCTTAGCGTTCAGCAAGGCTGCGCCTTTGACGTTGCATGCACTATGTCCAGAGCCGAGCACAGGGCGCGGTAGTTCACCTGAATATAGAATAGAATAAATAGAATAGAATAGAATTAGGCGTTACTTTGCGGAAATCCATTATATTAAATTTGGTAAAAATTACCTTGCGTACATCCGCTCGATAAAATAAAATGATGTCTTACCTAGTTTGAAGAGCACCTGCCGCCCTCCCTTAATTGTGTGCACTATCCCCGTCACCACTAATCCCAGCACCACTATACCCAACACCACTACACAAGGAAAGACACAATATGGTGACGGGGATAGTGCACGCAATTGTGGGAGGGCGGCAGGTGCTCTTCAAACTAGGTAAGACATCATTTTATTTTATCGAGCGGATGTACGCAAGGTAATTTTTACCAACTTTAATCAAATATCTTCTTTCAGTTGATATTTTTTATTTACTTTACATGTAGAATAAGGGTGACAAAGGGCACAAAGTTCACCCGATGTTAAGTGGATGCTGAGATTAAGGATCAAAATGCGGATGCGTTGTCGCCCCTAAGGACTAAAATGGAATGTCTCGTTTCCAGTAAAAAGGGTCTCCGGTTCTCAACACTTACCATACGGAAAACAGCAAGCAGCATTAAGCTGCAATTTTACGCTGATATTCTGTAAAAGTGGGCCTTCGTCGGTCGACCCGACCCATTCGTGCTACAATCATATAGCTGCAGCTTAGCTCTACTATGTATAAAATGATATTTACCCAACTGCCCCAGAAGAAGGGTTTTCGAAGGTACTATTATAGTATAGAAAATGACTTGTTAACAAGGTTTACATTAAGGGAAGGAACTGTTTCATGAAACACAGTTATTCTAGATCGCCAGGGAATCAACGAAATCATGTAAAAAAGAAATAAATATAAATAAAATGTGTGTGTGCTTATGTACGCACGTAGGAAGTTATACTTCTTTAGCGTAACCTTAAATATAGTTATCTGTTCCGACTAAAACTTAAGAGACAGTTACCCAATGAAGATGTCGCTTTGAGGTGTCAGTTTGCGTGCGCATCTTAACAACTTCATGCTTCGTTTTAGCTGTCGGTGTGCGCGCGTATTGTAAAAAAATCACTCTCATAATTTTTTCCAAACGCCCCAAAAGTTTAGTAAACTATTAACTAATCTGTGCCAAATGTAGTATCACTTCAATAAATAAATATGTATGCATGTACATGTCAATTTCTTTAGCACGCTTTGTAGCTAAGTATTACCTCGTCTCGTCACGTTGGTGTTGTAAGGCTAAGCGGAAATACCAAAAGATTGGTGGCCTTCGATAAATTAAAATGAGCCAATTGTACTCTTAAACTCCCCTTGACAGCGCCTTGATCGCCTGCCTGCCATGATGGAATGCCTCGTTTCCAGTAAAAAGGGTCTCCGGTTCCCTACACTCACCATACGAAACGCAGCAGCGTTAAGCTGCTATTTTACGCTGGTATTGTGTGAGAGCGTGGTCCTTCCCCGGTCGAGCCGACCCATTCGTGCTACAACTATACTATTATTATAACTGCAGCATGGCTCTACCACGTAAACACCACCACGTTTCTTAAGTTGTTTTCTTTCACTACCGACCACGTGGCTAAACAACACTTAAAATTGCAATTAACTATTTCATTGGTGCCGGCGGTTATCGAACCCCGATAAATGTAGGTGTTTGTGTCCCCTCCTCACGAACGGGTTACCGCCTTGTCGCAGAGGAGCTAAGTAGCCGGTATTATTCAGTGCGATTCCGAGCTTATTGTGCGCAACTTATTTAATTATTTTGTAACATCTTTAAAAGCTTACCTCGTCTCCACAGCCGCGTTTGTATCCGAAGCACTTGCAGATCAGCTCCAGCTCTCGTGCGGACAGTAAGGCTAGCAGATCGCGGCGGCACAGTGCCCGCTGGACCACGGCAGGCGGGACGCTGCCGCAGCACTCCTTGTCCGCCTCCTTTTTATTTATTTAATTATTATTTGTAAGACACCACCTGAACTGACTGCCTCATAGGACTAGAGGTCATAAACGCGACTGCTGATCAGGAGCTCCTGGGTTCGAATCCCGGGTCGGGTCAGAATCAGATATGGGGATTTACGGATAAGAAATTCTTGGAAGTTGGCGATGTCTCACCCCCGTGTCTCGGAAACCGTTGGTCCTGCGCCTGATCATTCTCCGGTCGTGTCGGTTTACCGTCCCATCGGACTATGAGAGTGAAGTAATATAGAGTGCACTCTGCTTGCGCACACACTTGTGCACTTTACGAATGGCTAGCCTCCATTGAGAAACAAAAATAAGTCTGGAAGACATTAAATGGTGGACATATGGACAGTGTGCCAGTTGTCATCTTCACTTCTGCATATAAAAAATGAATGTGACTTGCACCTGTTTGAAAAAATAAACCCGCGCATAATCGAGAGAGAGCGCATAATCGATTTCGATTCGAAATCGAAATCGAACATTTGCGCGCGTTCCAGACACGCGAAATGGATACCGCCTTGGAAAGTGCGCTAAATTGTTGGTTGGAACTGGTTGGAACGCTCAATCGTGGAGCGGGCTGTTCAATCTGGTGTCAGTTTTTTACCGCGTATCAAAGTAGTTAAGATTTGGCGCGCGCGCCAGTTGGCACGGTTGTTTTCATCATTCATGTGTTCATTGCGTTCTAAACTATTGATAACCAGAGTGGCAGTAAATTGATAAAATTATATGGTACAAATTAACTGCTGTGAAATAGCAAAAGTCGTTTTTATCATAATAAAGCGCTCAGAGAAGATGCATGAAACTATGAAAGCGGCAGCTGCTCTTACACGATCGACATCCATGTTGAACAGTCTAATAATGGAACAAATTCCGCGCGCTAAGTTGATACACTTGGAACATTTGGAACGCATTCCTCGGAACGCATTGGTCGGCGCGGTCATTCGTGGCGCGCACGCCAGGAGTGAGTAATCGATACGCCACTTATGTTCAATCAAGCAACACGACCAAGTCTAGGAGACTTGGTCGTGGTGCTTGGCCAGTTTGTCCATAGCCCTTGCGATGATGCTGAGCTCCTTGAATTTAAGGAAGTTGGTAAAGAGCATATGGTCGTTTTATCTTATCTTATCAGCCCATAACGTCCCACAGCTGGGCAAAGAGCTCCCCGACCTCTTTCCACCTTTCACGGTTCTGTGCTATGGAGGACCAGTCTTCCATGACGGAGTCCAGTTCATCAAATAAATTATAGTTTTTTTTTACCATATACTTATTTTCATAATTAGGTATTTAAATATACTTCTTTTTATTCGTATTTATAATCTTTCTCGATGCATGTGGTGTTTACCTTAAACGATTGTTACACTTAGTCACATAAGTTAGTTCTTAAGCCATTTTGTTAAATACAGTGTAATCAAACATTGGTAAACCTTAATAAATAAAATAAAATAAAATCTCTCCGTTGTTTCCCGGGTCTGCCTCGGGTTCGTCTGCCATTTATAGAAGTCCCCAGAATTGTAATTTTGGCCCAAAGTTCTTCTGACATACGGCAGACATGACAGGCCCTGTCTCATTTTAATTTGGCGGATTTACGGGAGACGTCAGTGATTTGGGTTCTGGAGCGCAGAGTGGTATACGGTCGTCGTAACAAAATATTATTCTAAGCCAGCGCTCAACTACTATCCCACCTGATGGTAAGGGGTGATGCAGTCGAAGATGGTGAAGTCATGAAGCGCTATGACTTAACAAAAGCCCATTAACTCTTGTCTTGAAGACACCGACATTGTAATGGGATGGAAACACAGATGCTTGCAACCTATTCCACTCCTTTTCTGTACGCATGACGAACGATTTGGTTCTTATGTGTGGTAAGTCGACAACAAAAGGTTGAAGTCTGGACGAGGGTCTGGTTGTCCGATATTGTAAGAGTGAGGGAGGCATTAAGTTATGCGATTCCTAAGTACATTCTCCGAAATGTGCATCCTCAAATAATTTAACCTTGAAAATTTCGATAATGTTTGACACTTGGTCGTGATAATTGGCCAGCTTGTCTATATCCCTCGCTAGGACGCTGCGCTCCTCGAAGTTGAGGAAAGTAGTGAAGAGCATACAGTCGAATTCAAAACCTTCTCTTTTTTTAAGTCAGTTAAAAACTGTCACTAACTCTTTCTTTGAAGTCGGCTAAAACCGCTTTTACCTTGAAAACCTCGAGTATGTTGGACACTTGGTCGTGGTGCTTGGCCAGCTTGTCTATGGCCTTGGCGACGACGCTGCGCTCCTCGAAGTTGAGGAAGGTGTTGGTGGCGGGCGGCGGCGCGTGCGCGAGCGGATGCAGCAGCGGCGCGCGCTCCAGCCCGCCCTGCGTCAGCGCCTCGCCCACCGTCGCGCACAGCCTGTCGTACTCCACGAACCTCCGCCGCCCTGGCGCACTGAATCTACACCACCAGAACACTCCATTAATAGATGAAATGGAATAAAATAAATAGAATGTAATGGAATGGGTGAAATGGAATATAGTAGAATAGAATGAAATAGATAAAATAGAACAAATTAAAATATCAATAATAATCCACGTAAAATAACACATAGGTCATGTGAAGAATCAACGCTCCGGGAAGTCTACAGTCTGTGTGCACTCGTCATACATTTAATAGACCAAAAATCCTCGCTACAGAACACCGATTCCTTCCAAGGATCGTCCGCGAGGCTAATAAAATAAAAATAAAACATACTAATTTCAATAGAGAAGATGGCTGGTTGCTACCATCTGCTTGGGATCATATAATTAATAAAATTAAATCCCAACCCAAGTTTACAAACTGCAAGACTTCAAAATACTATAAGTTCATACTGCGTAGATCGCACCAAAAATTAATAATTTTAATCTTCAGACTACTTTCAGGTAGCCGTGGTTAACTATGACATTGAGACGTCGAACACCTCATTTCCCTCCGTGACCATGGGTTAAGTACTCGTACATCCGTAATATAAAATAATACGCGATGAAATCCGTAAAAACTATTTTATTTCAAAGAATAGAATAGAATAATTTACAGAAGAAATAATTGTGGAACTATCGTTTTAAATTTGGAAGAGTTATTGTTTACGCCCGGACGCTGATTTCGGGATTGACGTTAGAGGGCGCGCAGCTCGGCGATACCGGTTTGAAGTTCGGCCGAGCGTGGCAAGTGGCGCGCGGGTCGCAAGCGCAGCAGTCGTCTGCCAGATGTGCTAATGTCTGCACGCTGTTAATTTTGTGCGGGAACCGCGGAATAGTTAGGGCGTCTAGTAAATATCCTGTCTAGGAATTATAACGCGTATTCCCTGTTTGGATAGCCTTTCCCGGGACTTATTGGGTCCGACTCAGAATCTGTATAAGTGCATTCGACAATATTAGCTAGTGCGGCCTCTGATATTCTAGAACTAACTGTTGCTACGTGAAACGGCCGTGACCTTTAAACTCCGTGTGCGTTTGTGCGTTAACCTTATACCCAGCGATAGTTAGTGGCTTCTGTAAGTTAGTTAATCGTACGATAGAGTTAATTGACTGTCATCGTGACGAAAGAAGAAAGTGACTGTGGACAACCTCGGAAGCCCCCCTCAAGTTGGAGCGGTGTCGACGCTCGGTTTGCTGCCGACGGCCAAGGTCTAGGTTCAATCACCATCAGTCACACCCAGATACACATCACATCACTTATTTCCCTTTCACTACACAACCACATGTGACCTGACCGACTCCGGAGGGACCAGTCGCCTTGGATATAGGTAAGTAAACTCCGCCTAATTTCTCTGCCGGTCGACTGGTCGTAGTATAGAACGCTCCCCCATATATTTTAGTGTAATTCGAGAGATTCCACGTGGCCACATTGAGGCTCGACCTACGTCTGCTCGGGAAGTCTTCAGCTCATGGGCCCCTGAAGGTTTGACCCTTTAAGGGAGCAGCCGTAGGCCGTAACAGTTATATAGTTTAATTACGTAGGAATGATAATACATTCATTGAAATTGAATGATACAGAAATCTATAATATAAAAATGAATCGCTGAATGTGTTGCTAAGCGCAAATCTCGAGAGCAGCTGAACCGATTTCGATAATTCTTTTTTTATAATGTTCCTTGAAGTACGAAAATGGTTCTTACTGTTCTGCACAGATGACTAGACTTCGGAGAAGAAATTATTATTATTAATAAGAGGGTTGTTCGTTCATTCATTGCATACATCGATCACTAATAAAAAACTAGATACACAATCCCATGCAAAATATACATTAATGTAAATTCAACCTTAAACCCATTGCTTAAAGTTGTATCCACAAAGCTACGTACAAATTAAGAGCGCACTCAAATGTCAAGGACATTTTTTGTCACTGATTGTGCACCTAGTTTTTTATTAGTGATCGATGATTACACACTATCAAAAGTCCACTGCTGAACATGAGCCTCTCCATAGCATCAGCACCTCACCCACCGTACGAACCTCCGCTCCGCTGCTTTGATGCGTTGAATTTGCACAACCAAAAAGTCACCATCACGGAGTACCTTTTTAACCGACTTCAAAAAGGAGGAGGTAATCAATTCGACTGTATGTTTTTTTTATGTGTTACCTCATAACTTTTTTCTAGGTGAACCGATTTTGATGTTTCTTTTTTTTATTTGAAAGCAATAGAAGAAATATATAATTTAGTTAGTTATCTTTTATCATTTATATTGAAGTCGGTTGTACAATATTTTTTATTTTACCACTTGTTAATACTGAGAATTCCTTTACAACACCCGTGAAAGGTCGATTATTATAATGCAATGCTAACCCACTTTGCCACGGAGCCAAAACAGTGCACTACTGAACATAGGTCTCTCGATATATTGTCTCATAGGCGGGTTGGCAACCGCAGTTTATCTTTCTAACGTGTTACAGGAAGATGCTGCCGCCTATAATAACAGTAATAACATCCCAACCAGATGAGAAAACTATTTAAATACACCACAATAATGCAATGTCCTCCTGACCGAATTCGATCATGGCGGCCCGTCTCAACGGATACTGATCATCTGCGCATGACAGAGTTACAGTTCACTTTTGTGTGCGCAAATATATGTGCACTCTCTAGTCCCTCACTCTCATAGTCTAATGGGACTGAGTGAAAGACCGGAAAGAAATTACGCGCAGGACCACCGTATTTACGTGCATGCCGTGGCATGGGTCTGCTACTCCGGGCTTCTACTGACAATTTCTTGACGGAAAAAGTCAATATCTGATTTTTAGCCCGACCCATCCTAATGCGAGACCTCATGATCAGGAGTCGTATTTTCAACCACTAGACCAACGAGGTAGTCTATAGTCTATACAAATAAACGAGGCTGTTAGGCGTTTATATTAATGTTGGGCGCCACTAGTATCGACTACTAGCGCCCTCTAGTATCGAGTAGCAGAACTAGGAGAGTCAAGATTCTTCTAGAGTTTTCCAAGAACTTTCTGGAACTATCGACACCTAGTCAGTCGGGACCGGTATGTACTCGAACATTCTAGAATCTAGATGTTTCTACAGTAGAAGGTTGTGGAAATTATCTGAGGCCCTATATAAGGCCGGTATAGACCGCGATCCGGTCAGTGTTGAGTTGGCGATACAAGCGAATACTTCGAAGCGATACGACTGCGAACCGTAGTTCAATTGTGTTTTGTTATTACTTATTAGTGTGGTTTTAAGTAATTAGCGTTCTGTAGTTAAAGTGTCAATTTTGGCAATAAACTCGGCAGTTTTTAATTGTCTCGAACCCCAAGCTCGTAAAATTAACAAAAACTTATTTTTTTATGTGTAATATTCGCAAGGACTTATCAAATGACACTAACACTTCCATGAGCGTGTCCATTTCCACAGGTGTGAGGGACAGTCCAGCTGACGCCAGCCCTCGGTAGAAGTCCGCGCGAGGGATCACCAACTCGTTCTGCTTGTCGAACTGCTGGAGGAAATCACGAGGTCGGATACCCTCGCGCACCATCTACGCAAAACACACGTCGAACACCTCAGTCCTCACGTAACAATGCTCGAAACGTCGAGACTATAAAATAATCTGCGCAATAAAACACGTAAAAACTAGTTTTATTTAAAAGTTTAGTGTTCGCGTAGACATAAGACATAATTATGAGACTCTTTGGATTTTTGACTGATGAACTCATTGAGTTATATGTACTACGTACTAGAGAAGCCATTCCGAACATTGACTATGTTCAACTGAACTGTAGTGCAATGCCTACAAACTAAATATTGCGTAAATTGAAGATTTGTGAATTCCATAAAATAATTATTATTACATTTTATTTAGAAATATGTTTGTTTAGATTAAATTAAGATATTTTATATTAAATTCTTATATTTATTTTATATTAATATCTTATTTTATATTAAATTAAAATCTTCGCGCATGCGCGACTACTAGTCTACTACTCCCGCGCATGCGCGAAGATATGAGTAGGACACAATTTTTGTTTTGAATGGCTTCTCTAGTACGTAGTACATATACCTCAATGGATGAACTTTTTTCTGTGCCATAAACCAATTTCAAAAGTTACCAGATATTGCTTATTCATATATTAAACGTCAACCCACCAAAATCTACCAAACTTTCTTCTAAGTGACTCAATGTCAAGTAAATTATAACAATCTCAGAATACCAACGTAAAATAGCAGCTTAATGCTGCTATGTTTCATATTGGAAAAGAGACATTCCATCGTAGTCCTCACGAGTGACAACGCAGCAGCATTTTGATTTTTAATCGAAGCTAAATGTAGATGTCTATTATGGGCCACAGGATCCACTAACCATCAGGTAGACTGTGTGCTCGTTTTTCACCCTTATACTATAAAAAAAAACAATGCATAACAGGTACAGCTATAAAAAAAAAACTGTTTGCAGTTGTACAGTACCTTTCCTTTGATCTTGGCGAGGATCTGCACGATGTCAGTCTCGTGCGGTGAGGAGCGAGACGTGACGCGGCTTCGGGGGACCGTTCCGACCTCACTTGGACCCTCCGCCCTTTGATCCTCTAACTGTATATTAATAATTAACATATTTCTTAATTGAAATTTTTATTATTTTATTTTTAGTCGTTATTAGGAAAACTCTGCTTTCCATCTTCGTGTTTCCCTCTATCGCATATTACGACAGCCACGGGATGATATGGGGTAGTGGATATTCTTACACCGCCACTGCACGGTAAAGCTGAATCGTCAACCCGCTTTCCAAGCGTGGCAACTATGGCAAATATCCACCCTATGAGGCAATCTATGGGGGAGGTCTATATTTAGCAGTGGATTTTAATGAGCTGTAACGGTAACGGGAATTATTATTATTATTTGATAAAATCGATACCTCCACACTAGGAATTTCTTTTAAATAGTGGGGGTTGACAAACATAAATATCACAAAGACAAACATCCTGAACCGGAACAATTATTTGTAGGTCATACAAACACTTTGTTCCGTTCACGATCTATCGTGCGGCCACGTCGAGCGTGTTGTAGTGATGGGACTCGAGTGAAATTTTTTCACTCGAGTCACTCGCCAGTGTCAGCCTAGTCACTCGAGTGCCACTCGAATGAAGATAAAACTCAAGTGACTTTTTTTGACTCGAGTTGCTCGCCTGTCAAAAACATTTAACAACATTGTTTTTCACGATTTGTAAAGGTTATAAGTCTTGACAAATCATTTTGATTAGAGCTTAAGATATTTTTTTTGTTTCTGCTTAGTAAGTGATGCATTAGGTCTTGCAAGTTGTAGTTGCTGAAAACGCCGTTTCATTGATGTAGAATTGGAATCGGCAGACGTGGAAGCAGAGCTCTCACCTTCAGCAGTTTAAGAACACGCATGAGAGGAACTTGACTCACCCCTGAAGTCTTTGTAACTTTCTTGCAAAACTTACAAATAACTGTATTTTGGTAAACACCGATTATAATCGGCATATTTTGCCGATTAGTCGCGCACTAGTCACTGACTGTAAAAGATGACCGACTGTATATGTTTCGGCTAAAAGCCGAAGTGCGGAAACACCTAGGTGTACCCGGTTAATACAAGGTGTACCTAGTTGATTGCGGTTCATGTATCATACATAATTTATAAATTAGATAAATATCTGCGGTTTTAAGGTGGCCCTTGGGCCGCACCTTAACCTACTGTCGCTGATATTACTTTTCGTATGGTGAGAAGAGAGCCATTCCATCTTAGCCCTCACGGTAGACAACGCATCTGCATTTTGATTCTTTATTGAGGGTAAATGTAGATGTCTATGAGTCACAACAACCACTTACCATCAGGTGGACTGTGTGCTCGTTTGTCAACCTATCCTATAAAAAAAAGATGGACAGACAGCGGAGGCTTAGTAATAGGGTCTCGTTGGTTAACCTTCTGGTACGGAACTCTAAAACCGGTGTATTACATTTTTGGTAATGAAGGTATTGACTTTACATTAAAATAAGGACTGCACAATGCTGTCACACGTTCATTTTGTTGTGTTTTCTTTATAGAACAAACTTAATAATCAACCTTACTATAATTTATATTATGTCTAAATATTCATCACTAAAAGGTTAAGAATCACTAATAATGATGTATAGATTATCTCACGTCTCGAAGTAACGCGTGATAGTTGAATCCGTTGCGGTCCAGGTAGCGCATCTCGAGCGCGCGCACGAGCTCCGGCGGCGGCAGCGCGCCCACGCGGGACAGCGCACTGCGCACCCACGCGTGCGCCACGTGCCCACTCTTATGTCTACCGCGGGAAATAATAAGATGGATTGATTTTTACTCAATATTAGCTGGTACGCAGAAGAAATAATTGTGGCAATATCTTTTTAAAGGAGACAGTTTCTTTTTGTATGGAGAATGGGCCCCACCACAAATTTTAGCTACCCTTAATGAAATGAATCTCGATTTATTTCTTATAGTCTATAGATTACAATAGTAATATTAGTTTTACTGAATCTAAACGGAGTACTGAGAAATTAGCAAACAAAATATGAATCTTACTACAACCTAAAAACTAACTAAAAGCAATTGTCTATTAGTTTTCACCGGTATTATAAGTTAAAATAGTGCACTGGTCAATAATTAATAGTATAAAACAAAGTTGTAGTTACATTCAGCATTTATAGGTACTTTAAGATCGATTGAAAATGATTTTAGTAGTTCCGGCAAAATAGAGCGCCTGTCTGTGCACACATGTGGTATGGATACTATTTTTTTACATGTATTGATTGTGAGTATAATCCCAAATACCACTTAAGTAATATTATGATTAAAGCCAAGATAAGTCAGGGATAATATGTACATTTATAATATTACCTACACACGCTATATAGTAAGAAAGATGTTGTGAACTGGTTGTGTAAGAGTTATATTGTTCTATTAGGAATGTGTGGCCGGTGGAAGGAAAAGGGGAGATCTCCCGCCGGGCAAGGTGTTCTGCCCGGGGAGCGGCCAACGCTCCGAGTGGTAGTTTGGAGCTATTCTATACAACATGTAACAAAAACCCTGTGGTTCCCGTTAAGTAAGTTATCAGGATCAGTATACAAAGCTTTGGAAATAATTTTTTTTTAAAAACTCGACAATATTTTTTTAAAAAGAAATTAATTTTATAATAATAATAATAATAATATCATTTATTCGCTTAAACATGGTACATCAGAGGTGACACATAGTTGCATATTATACATAGTCCACATGTTTACCACATCTGGCATGCGAAAATTATTATTTAAATGAAAATAATTAATTAAGTACATAGATTAAATTAAACCAAATAAATATAAATTAAAAAAGTTAAAATTACAATAATAATTCAAGCAAAGAAGTTATTTATGAATTATTAAATTAAATTAAATTAAATTAAAATTACAATCATCATGTCAATCATAATAAATATCAAAAATTAAAATGTCAAAAAAGTATACAAATTATTACACAAAAATAAAGTCTAAAATAATATAGTAAAGTCAAATTTAGGCAACAAGATTTTATTCATTTAAAAATTGTTTTATATCATAAACACATTTTAATAGAAGCCAGCTTTTGAGTTTAGTTTTAAATTTACTAGTTTCTTTCTCTTCTTTAATGCTTACCGGAAGTTTATTGTAAATCTTTACACTCATCGCGTAACAGCCATTATGATAAAAGGCAGTTTTAGGTATACGTTCTAAAACTAGTCTACTAAATTTTCGTGTGTTACGTAAATATACCTCAGATGCTTTTTTGTACATATGTAAATTTTTTTTTTACATGAACACTTGCTTCAAATATGTACATGCTTGGTAAAGTTAGTATGTTAAAATCCTTAAATAAGGGCTTACACGAATCATACCATTTCGCCCCAGTTAAGGCTCTCACACACTTTTTTTGAGCTATAAAAGCTCTTTTTGAATAAGAGCTATTACCCCAAATTAACAATCCGTATCTTAGTATTGTTGCAACATACCCATGATATGCAATGAGTGCGGTTTGGCGTGACGATGTTCTTCTTAACCTATTCAAAACATATACAAATCTATTAATTTTATTACAAATTTCGTCAATATGAGCCATCCAATTACAATTACTATCTAGTTTTAATCCTAGAAATTTCTTCTGTTCGTTTTCTTGCACTTTGTCATTATTATACCTTATGTCAAGGTCTAGTTTCTATCTACTATTACTATAAAATTGAACATAACAGGTTTTGGCGATATTGACCTTTAAATTATTATCATGTAACCATGAAATGACATCATTTATTGCGCATTTAATGTCATTTTCATAATAATGTTTATTTCCATGATTATTTTTTATGATCAAAGATATGTCATCCGCAAATAAAATGCATGGGAATGGAGTTGAATCCGGTAAATCATTTACATAAATTACAAACAAAAGAGGCTCAAGAACGCTTCCCTGAGGAACTCCAGTATACTTAAGAATTAGTTGCGATCTAAATTTTGTCAAAATATTATTTTTGTTAGGGCTTATAACTTCCACACACTGTTTTCTTGATGATAAGTATGATTTTATACACTGCAATGTCAGTCCTCTTATCCCATACTTTTCTAGCTTACGTAATAAGGTGTTATGGCAAACAAAGTCAAATGCTTTTGACATATCAAAAAATACACTTGTTACATTTACCTTATCATCTATTGCATCGGTGATTCTTTTTAGTAAATCAAAACATGCCATCATGGTTGATTTATTTTGCTGAAAACCATACTGTTCTTTTTTTATAAAATTATGTTCATTAAAGTAATGACTAAGTCTACTGTGCATAGCTTTTTCAAAAATTTTGGAGAAAACTGACAAAATAGTTATTGGACGATAATTGTTCATATCTTTCTTATCGCCTTGCTTAAATAAAGGTTTGACCAGGGATAGTTTTAATGACTCTGGAAAAACACCTACTTCGAATGATAAATTTATCAAATATGAAAGTACAGGCGATAGTTCATCCTTGCAGTATTTAATGACTTTCGTAATTACACCATCATGTCCTTCACTTTTGGAATTTTTTAAATTAACTATTAATGCCTTTGTCTCCTCCAGAGTAATTGGACGTAAAAACATGCTTTTGCACGGACTATTTATGTTATACAGGTGCGTTGCTTTCGCTTGCTTAAATTTAACTGTTCTTGTCTGGCTTTCATAATAATCATTAAAAGCGTTAGCAATTATCTGTGGAGATTTTAGACATTCATTATTCTTATTTATCATGTTTATATAGTGGTCATTTGATTTTAATCCTGCCTCCGATTTTATCATATTCCATGAACATTTTCCAATATTCTTACTGGTATTTATTCGTTTAAAATAATTTATTCTTTTAGATACATCAATACACTTTTTTAATAATTTGGCGTATCTTTTATATTTTTGTTTATTCTCTTCAGTCTTTTTCCTATAATAACCAATTTTGAGTTTCCTTTTCATTAAGCAACTAAGTCTTGAACCTTTTGTGATCCAGTTATTTTTATACTTCATGTCTAGTTTTTTTGTCTTAATCATTGGAAAGCATAGATTATAAAATAAGATAAAAAGTTCCATAAATTTATTGTATGCAGTATTGATGTCCTTATCCTCAAAAACTTCCTTAAAAGTAAGCTTTTTTATACATTCACGAAATATATTTATGTAATATAAATTATAATTTCTTTTATACTCCCAAATATCCTTTAACTTTTTTTTCTGTTTATGCACATCAATAGATAATATTTGCGCCGATTCATGATCAGATAAATATAACTTTTTAACACATGCCGTTGCATTCATTATATTACTAAACACATGATCTATACAATTGTTTCCACGCGTTGGTTCATTAATATGTTTATATAAATTATAATTCGAAATGATGTCATTTAATTCAATTGTATTTTTATTATTTTCCAATGTATTAATGTTAATGTCTCCAACAATGATAATTCTTTTATTAAGATTATTTATTAATTTTGACAATAAGTTTTGTAGTTTAAAGAAGAATATGTTCACATTCGAACTAGGTGTCCTATAGATGCATATTACGTAAATATTATGTAAAGGAATTTCTATTCCACAACATTCAAAATGCTCGGATTCTGCAAAATCTGAAACAAATTTTATTTCGTTCCACTCTATATCTTCCTTTATCAAAATACATACACCACCTCTACTTTTTTTACGACCATAGAAACTAGTTAATTTAAAACCAAAAACATTATAATTATTACAGTCACTCGCTTTAACAAAAGTTTCCGTTAAACATAATACATCTATTCCTGTATGTTTCTCTTCGTGTAAATATTTTAATGTTAATTCTAAAATATCCTTTTTGGAGCAAATGCCAGCTATATTTTGATGTAAAATTGTGAATTTCATATATGAAGATTTTGCTTTATGGACGAAAGGAATCATGTGATACTTGTTTATAAGACTTTATAGAACGAAAATAATAAGTTATTAACCCTCTATTTGGTTTACAATTTTCAAAGTTATTGTTGATGATATTGCAATTTTCATTATTATGTCTAGCATTCTTTTTACTCATTAAATTAAAATAGTAAGGTATAGTGCCCTTTATAAATTGAACTTTAGGTGTGTTAGGTTTAATTTTTTGTGAGTTAATATTTTTGTTATGTGTCAGTCTATTTCTTAATTTACTTAATGATAGAAACGATGTATCATAGTCAAAGCAATCTATATTAAAATTTAATTTTCGACTCATATGCCACAAATATTCCTTTACGTTATAAAAATTACCACTCGATGTCAAAAAAGTACAATTATTATACAATCGAACTAAAGAAGCTATATTATCATTTAATGTTTTTATATTCAAATAAGGATTATTTACAACTTCTAAAATATATACTCTACTACATTTACTTAACTTATGTGGTTTTATTACCTCTTACTGACAATAGCCGATGCTAAAGCTAAGTAAAGCGGGGTCTTTGACAATCCTCTTACACCCCAGACAATGCAGAGGTAATAAAGCCACATACAATTTGCATACAATTATATATTTAATAAAATAAATAAAATATTGTTCAAGTTTAAAAAAAACATTTCTATACGTTTAAATAATGATCCTGATAACGTACTTAACGTGAACCACAGGGTTTTTGTTACATATTGTATATAAATACTGCTTTAACTTCGGAACTTTGTTAGCGCGATTTAGGCTTGGATGTATTTCACTTGTGGCGCGACGACAACGTCAGTCAGTTCAAAAGTCCCCTGCTGAACATAGACCCCTCCCCCCAGATTCTCATTGGGTGGATATTTGTTATAGTTTCAACCCTTGACAATCGCAGATTTTTATTTTTTTATTTAGCTGTTATCAGGATGATGCTGCTGCCTATCTCCTGTTTCAGTTTTCTTCTGTCGCCTATTACTACACCTAACGATATGGGCTAGTGGATATTCTGATTTCGCCACTACACGGTGCTTTTAGAAGTTGGTTCTTCTCAGCACATTATCCGCGCGACGCTGTTCTCATGATAATACGTTCATTGAAGTTGAATGATACATATAAATTTCAGTACGATATGCGCGCCACCTACTGTAAGTTAATTGTACTATAGCTATAATGTTAGCGCAAGTGCAAGCAATAAGTTGACAAAATTTTAGCGCAATCTGATGAACGATTTGGCAACGCATAAAATACGAAGAAACAAATAAACTTTAGTTTTACCACGTTTGTATTAAGTAATTTAGTAGTAATTGATTTTAAACTAACTTCCTGATGAGCTGGAAATTTTGAATATAGCTCAAAAATTCTAACTAAAATAGAAAAGGCTGGTTTAAGTGTTTTTACCATTGTTGACGATTTTTTTCTCGAAAATCAAGATTTGTTTTATAAATAAATAAATAAGTATTTTAATAAATAATTAAGTTTTATAAATAAGTATTACGTGGTAGAGACATGCTGCAGCTATATTATGGTTGTAGCACGAATGGGTCGGCTCGACCGGGGAAGGACCACGCTCTCACAGAATACCAGCGTAAAATAGCAGCTTAACGCTGCTGTGTTTCGTATGGTGAGTGTAGAAAATCGGAGACCCTTTTTACTGGAAACGAGGCATTCCATCTTAGTCCTCACGGGTGACAACGCATTTGCATTTTGATTCATAATCGAAGATAGATATAGATGTCTATGGGCCACAGCAACCACTTACCAGCAGATGGACTGTGTGCTCGTTTGTCACCCTTATCCTATAAAAAAAAATATCACGCATGAAAGTGAAGACTCATCTATTAACTAATTGAGATTTCTTTATGGTGTCTTTCAATGAAGTGAGTCCTTTAATATTTTTAAAACCGTAACTGCCTAGGTATTTTACGCGTTTCTTAAGTACCGGCCTCTTAACGCGTGGTATTGTAACGCCCTTAACTTTCAACAGGCCGCTACATAAAAGTACACTTATCGATAGATCAATTTGATAAAATGACAATGGAAAAACAAAACATTTGATATATCATATTTTTTTCTCACGGTATTATTAATTACCCAGCTTAATACTAAAGACTTTTTTTTATAGAATAAGTGTATAAACGAGCACATAGTCCACCTGATGGAAAGTGGAAGCTATGGCCCAAAGATATAATCTATCCTTGATTAAAAATAAAAATGCCTCGTTTCCAGTGAAAAGGGTAACCGGTTCTAAACATTTACCATACGAAGCACAGCAGCATTAAGCTGCCTATTTCACGCTTGTATTCGGTGAGAGCGTGGTGCTTACCCGTTCATGCTACAATCATAATATAGCTACAGCATGGCTCCACCACTTATAAAAAAGAAATATAATAGTTGAATAATGAACTGACAATCAAAAAAGAAAATAAGCCTCACGCATCATGATCTCCGAAGATAGGTCGCAGATCAACGGCCCTCTCCTTGCAAGCCGCCCTTATCCGTGATAAAGCTGCCTCCGCCAGTTCTTGCTGTTGGTCAGTTAGCTGGTTGCTCTCGACAGCAGAGCCAGGTGGCGGAAGCTGTGAGACTGCTGCTGCAACTGCCCCTGGTTGCACGTCCGGGTGCTTTTCCAGTTCTTTGATGGTGAACACTGTGCAAGGGGAATACTTCTATCTATTTAATACAGCCTATAAAAGTTCACTGCTGACATTGGCCTCTCCCATAGAATGCCTTATAGGGAGGGTTTTGTCATAATTGTCACGCTTGCACGTGAGTTGCCTACCGCAGTTTTTTTATTATATTGAGTTGGAACGTGCTGCTGCCTATCTTCAATAGAGAATTCAGTATCCCATGGGATATACAAAGCTCACGGAATGCTCCCGTGGGTATCATAAGAGGTGACAGAGAGAAAAGAAACAAGAGACGGGCAGCATCATCTTCCTGATCATAATACTCCTGATTAATAAAATCTGCGGTTGCTGAGCGTGGTAAATATGGGAAATTACCTCCTTACGAGCCAAGGGGGAGCCGTATGTTCATCACTGGGCTTAATATAGGATGTAATAATAAAAACAAAAGGTCTACGGTTCCTTGGAGGTGTGAAAAATTCAAGCTTGTGAGGCAACGCAACCATTCTAAGCCACTGCTTGACTACTATTGCCGTGCCCAGGACCTCATCCCGTGTTTGGCCAAAATTGTTATTTTTTATCAAGAAATTCTCAGTAGTAGCCTGGAGTCAGAAAGCTGGCGGTGTTTGATCCCCGTGCCTCAGAAAGCACGTAAAGCCGTTGATCCAGCCTCTTATCTCTGTCCGATCGTGTCGGATTACCGTTCAATCGAGCTACGAGAGTGAGGGAATAAGAGTGCAACTGTGCTTATTTGGTTGCCATCTCCTAAAATGAAAAAGCCGGACTCGGCGCTCCAAAAAGCCGTACTTTTGGCCCTAAAAGCCGGACAGTAATTTTTAGCCAAACATACCTTTCTGACGCCATGCAGCTAAAAAACTCCAACCAACTCCAACCCCCCGAGAAAAAAACTAAAATACTCCGTTACATACTTTAATTGTTTATTAATCAATCACAGCGCAGTTTGAAGTGTATACGTTACTTATTTATTTATTCTGCAAGCGATGCGTGTAACGCGTTACACTAACAAAAAGCCTAACAAAAGCCGGACAGGCCGGACACATAAAAATCTGGCCGGACACAACCCGAAAAAGCCAAACATGTCCGGCTAAAGCCGGACAGGTGGCAACCCAGGAGGCTCAATTCCCCTTCCCCCCCATCAACATGGTAGCGGAATTACATGATAGACTACCCCAGGAGGGTACCAGCACCCCTGGAGAATCCCTCGCTGAGCATCCACGACCATGCTACTCTACTCCTGAGCGTGGGTGCTCAGGCTGCCCCGCGTATTCTGGGGGGGGGGGGGCAAAATTCCGCTCAATACAATAACTGCAAGGGGCAAACTGAGCAACATGACCAAGGCGACCTCTGCCACGCTATCCGTGAATTTTTGCAACATCAGGGGACTTCACTCGAACCTAAACGCCGTCCACTACCATCTCGAGACGGCGAAGCCGGCCTTGCTCTTTCCGACCGAGACGCAGGTGTCCTCACCGGCTGATACTTCGTATCTCTCCTGCCCGGGGTACAAATTGGAGCACTCCTTTGTGCCTCGGGCTGGAGTTGGCGTATACGTCAGAGAGGACATCTGTTCTCGACGCCTCGGCAGTCTTGAAGGTTCGGACCTGTCCATCCTTTGGCTACGCGTAGACAGCGACGACCATACGCGCGTCTACGGGTGCCTCTATAGGTCCCATAGCGGTAATGCCGACACAGACCGACTCATCGACCACGTCCAAATGGCTGCAGACTCCGTGCTACAACAGGCCCCATCCGCAGAGATCGTGATTCTTGGCGATTTTAACGCCCACCACGCCGAATGGCTCGGTTCACGTTTAACCGATTATGCGGGGAGATCTGTTCATGACTTTGCCTTGATATATGGTCTGACACAACTGGTTACATCGCCTACGCGAATTGCAGATGTTGAGGATCATACACCTTCCCTGTTGGACCTTCTGCTGAACTCTCATCCGGACGGATATCAGGTTTCCGTCGATGCCCCACTCGGCTCTTCGGACCATTGTCTGATCCGGAAAGTGGTGCCACTCACGCTCCCCTCGCGGTTGCGTTCTGCAGGTTGCCGCCGTGTTTGGCATTACAGGTCGGCGGATTGGGACGGAATGCGGTCTTTCTTTGCTTCCTACCAATGGGGCGGGTTTGCTTCTCGCCGGATGATCCCAGCGCTGTTGCTGACTCTGTCACTGATGTGGTACTTCAGGGAATGGAACTATCTATTCCATCATCTGTAGTACCCATCGGAGGCAGATCTCAGCCTTGGTTTGGTCGCTCCTGTAAGACTGCATTACGCAGTAAGCAGGAGTGTTATCAAGCCTGGGCTGCGGCTTCAGCGACTCGGGATGTAAGCACCAGCATACTTAAAAAGAAGTATAACTTCGCCTCCAGGTCCTTCAAAAGAGTTATTGCCAAGGCAAAGTCAGAGCACATGGGCAGAATTGGCGAGAAACTAGTTCGCCTTCCTTCGGGAACTCGTGCAATCTGGTCTCTCGCCAAGGCTGTCCAAGGGAATTTCTGTAGACCATCACTACCATCTCTGCACAGGGAGGAGGACTCACTGGCCCACGACGCAAAAGAGAAAGCCGACCTTTTAGGCTCCCTTTTTGCGTCCAATTCGACTGTTGATGACGGAGGGAACACACCGCCGACCATCCTGCGGTGTAAGTGCTCCATGCCGGATGTGCGTTTCTCACAGCACTCCTCTCCCTGGACATCCACAAGTCCAGTGGGCCTGACGGAATCCCCCCAATTGTGCTGAGGACGTGTGCTCCGGCGTTGGCACCGGTTCTAACGTGTCCTTTCCGGTACTTCTACTACCTAGGCGTAGTCCCGAAATCATGGAAGACAGCTTTTGTCCACTCGATCCCTAAAAAAGGCGATCGCTCAGACCCGTCCAACTACATGCCTATCGCCATCACCCCCTTGTTCTCCAAAATAATGGAATCCGTTATAAGCTGCCACCTCATGCGGTACCTTGAGGATCACCAGCTGATTAGTGACCGCCAATACGGTTTTCGTCGGGGTCGATCAGCTGGTGATCTTCTGGTCTACTTAACTCATAGATGGGTGGAGGCAGTAGAGTCCAAGGGGGAGGCATTGGCCGTTAGTTTGGACATTGCGAAGGCCTTCGATCGGGTTTGGCACAAAGCGCTTTTTTCGAAGCTCCCTTCCTATGGGCTTCCCGAGAAATTATTCAATTGGATTGCATGCTCCGACTACAAGCCTATTAACGCTGGTGTTCCACAAGGCTGTGTGCTATCACCAACGCTGTTTCTTCTGCATATCAATGATATGTTGCAAACCGGTAGCATTCATTGTTATGCGGATGACAGCACTGGTGATGATCTATACACCGCCCGTGCCAATATTTCTTGGGAAAACGTCGCCGAGTACCGGAAGAAACTTGTGTCTGAAGTCGAGTCTTTGCTGGACAAAGTCTCAGATTGGGGGCGACTAAATCTAGTCCAGTTTAGACATAGACATAGACATAGACATAGACATGCATTTATTCAGCAACATACACTCATACAGTTTTGATACAGAAAATAAAATAAAACATAAAAACATCAAAGATAAAAGTAAATAACAAAAAACAGTCATAAAATGATCCGATTGCATGAGTGATGTGATGCTGAAAAGGGCACTGACTCAACGTAATGCTATCGCAGGATTGCGGTAGCGTTGGTTTTCAGCAATGCCCATTGAGGTTGGACTCGCCCGCGAGGATAGTATGTTCGCTTTATTTCTATTTTCGAGAAAGATGTTATCAAAATAATAAAATAAAATAATGGAAACAAAAAAGGATGGGAACTTTATTTATGCAGTAGGTATATATAAATGTATATAATAAATAATATAATGAGTATATACAATAAAACAATATAGATATTTATATAATACTATGAAAATATAATGCAGCTATTTTATCTGCCCTAAATATTAAAGTGACAAAAATATTCTTTTTTAATCCTCAGAAGCACAAGTTTGCGCGTTTACCGCTAAAAAGAACCCCTTTGTCGTATCTCCTCAGTTTCAAGGTACTCCCCTTGTTGCCTCAGCCAGTATCGGAATCCTCGGCGTCGACATATCGAGAAACGTGCAGTTTCGTGGTCACTTGGAAGAGAAGGCCAAATTGGCCTCTAAAAAGCTTGGCGTGCTGAGCAGAGCGGGACAGTATTTCATGCCGGTTCAACGCCTGCAACTTTACAAGGCGCAGGTTCGGCCTCACATGGAATACTGTTCCCATCTCTGGGCTGGGGCTCCCCAGTGCCAGCTCCTTCCAGTTGACCAAATCCAGCGCAGAGCGGCTCGAATCGTCGACGACCGAGTCCTTTACGATCGGCTCGATTCATTGGCACTGCGAAGAGATGTTGCATCCCTTTGCATTTTCTTTCGCATCTACCACGGGGAGTGCTCTGAGGAATTGTTCGGATTAATCCCAGCCGCCAAATTTCACGAACGCACATCGCGGCAGAACTCCCGATATCATCCACACCATCTGGATGATTGGCGGTCCACCACTGTGCGATTTAGAAGATGTTTTCTTCCTCGCACGACTTCCTTGTGGAATCGTTTACCATCAGCGATTTTTCCGGACCGATACGACTTAGGGACCTTCAAGAAAAGAGCCTACTCCTTTTTAAAAGGCCGGCAACGCATCTGCAATTCCCCTGGTGTTGCGGTTGTTCATGGGCGGCGGTAGTCACTTACCATCAGGTGAGCCGCATGCTCGTTTGCCCCCTCTCCTTTAAAAAAAAAACAAACCTTACCTGTGCTAGCGTATACTTGTGCGCACTATAATCCTGTCCTGCGCAGATGGCTAATTTTCGTGGCCGCCGTGACCGAAACTCGGAGGACATTATTGTTATATTTACTATTTTATTTATTGTTTAGTTTGTACTAAATCTATGGTTATATTAATATTATTATTGCCGTTATTGTGACATATTTAGATACTCGCAAGCTCACTCATGGAAACCTATAGGGTACTTCACTTTGACTTTCGTCGTCACTCCATCTAGTGGGAGGCTGAGTGAAGAAATTCTTAATATTAAAATAAAATAGCAATACATGGATTACCTTGGTCACAGTCATCCTCAAAGGTTCTCCAACAGACTCGTTCTTTATCATTGGGGTCGGTGTAGTGCCGTATAATGCACATGGCTTCCATATCCGAGAGTATGGCGTTAAAACCCATCGTGTCCAGAGCGCGACGAAACTGTTGTGGTCTGATGCACCCACTATTAAGAGGGTCGAAGTCCTAGCGAAGTAATGAACACTGTTATTATATAATGTTACTAGCTGTCCCAGCCAATGTTGTGTTGGCTACATTTTAAAAATCTTTGGCGTCAATCGGTACTCTACTCTGTGCGACTGTTTAACTAAATTATATAGGCTCAGAAGGGCTAGAATCCAGAGCCGTAAAGCCAGTTAAAAAATAATTATATACCATTATGGATTTGATAAATTGACATTAGGAGTATGAACGAAAACAATGAATGCTTTATTTTATTTTATTTAATGTATTTGTAACACATATTATACATAAATTTTAGCTATTTGTTCTCCTCTTCCATATAAACTTCTACAACAAATTTCACACCCTCCGTGCGCGCAATATGCTTAGATAGAGTAACACAGTTTTCCCTTCACGTATTGAAATAATATAAGACAAATGATAAGGTGTAAGTAGGAATGAGATACGTGATTAATATTAATAAGAACATAGTATAAAAATAATTAATTAGATTCTGAGCTTACCCTAAAGAATTCGGAGACTCTGATTCGCCTCTGCATCACGAACTCCTGCACTCTAAGCATGATGTCCACTAGTCCTCGGGTGGGTTTGGGCTGCTGCAATGCCGGATGAAACACCTCGACACCGAGCAGTGTACTGGGCAGCCCGGCTTCTATCTCCGGCCGCGATAGTTTGGGTGGGGTCGTATCGATCACTGCGTTTGGATTTAGGTACGCCTGGGTAGGAGACAGATTGAGATTTTTTTTTGTTTTGTTTATAATGGACGAAATTGTTGTTTAAATTTATTGACCCGGAAAAAACCCTTTTTAAACGGATAGCCTTTTTATTGGAAACGAGGCATTCCATCTTAGTCCTCAGGGGTGGCAACGAATCTGCACTTTGATTCTTAATCGAGGAAAAATTTAGTCTATGGGCTACATTTTTCCACTTACCCATCAGGTGGACTATGTGCTCTTTTGTCGCACTTATTCTATAAAAAAAATGTTTTAAAGAAAAAAAGATTTTTGACCCAAGTTTTCTCCTCGCTCCATACATTATAAATCCAGTTTCAGCGATGTTTTACCATATTTTTACGGAGCAGGAATTATATCTTAAGGAAACCTGACATTTTTTGAAGACATGTACTTAAACTCCATTAGAATCTAAACGTGTCTAATGGAGACTTTTTTATAGAATGTTACTTTACATAACATGTTTTAAACATATTTGTATAAATATTTGGTATCTATAATGTTTATTTCATAATAATCATAAACTTTATTTTAAAAGCACTTTACAATGATGATACACTTCGCTATAATATGCCATTTTTATATAGAAACACATGCGGTTGATTTTGGTAAATTTCAATTTTAAAACTCTCGCACAAAGCTCGATTTGTATCGTGAGTGTAGTTAGTTCGCTAAATGCATTTTTATAGTTATACTAGTTAATAGCTATAACGAAATACAAAGATTAAAGGAAAAAACGCAAATTGTAATACAAAATTACTAATCCAAAATTCAAAATAAAAATAAAATAAAAGAGTAAAGAACGTTGACGTGGTAGAACTACAATTCAGGTTGTAGTACGAATGGGTCGGCTCGACCGGATAAGGGTCATGCTCTCCCCGAATACCAGCATAATGCTGTTGTGTTTGGTATGGTGAGTGTAGAGAACTGGAGATCATTTTTTAATGGAAACGAGGCATTTCATCTTAGTCAGGGGTGTCAACGCATCTGCATTTTGATTCTTAATCGAGGATAAATGTAATGTCTATGTGCCACAGTATTCACTTACCATCAATGTGGACTGTGTGCTCGTTTATCGTATATCAGTCTTAATCTATAAAAAAATGACTGGAATTGAGTTAATATTAATGAGTTTTAACTCTGATTTTAAGTTGAGATCATAGAGTTTTATATCACAATTCATTGCAAAAAGATGGAAGCGTTTCTTTAAAACTCGGAGTGGGCGTTCAAATTTCAAAATTTTCAAATGATTGCAGTTATTTTAATGAAATGAAATTTTATTGCATTGTATATTTGACATTTTTAAAACTATCATCAAATTCTAACCTTACGAGTGTACATATACCTACATCTGAATTATAACTACTTAGCTAACAAAGGTAACTCAAATTACACTTTTCTTTTTGTTAAACTTAAAGGTCAGTTGAGACTATTTTGATAAAATACTTAGACACAAATCTAAATATATGCATATAAAATTATCTCACCGGTCCCAACCCTTGTATTCCTTCCTTTTTGACAGCTTCCAAAGCTTTAAGAAACTCCACATAGTCGATGGTATAGGAGTCCTTGATGAAGCGGCGCACCAAGAGATTGAAGTCCTCAGGAGACAATAGGATACCCACAAAGTTCAAGATTCGAGCAAAGTGAGCGAATGTTATGCGTCCATCATTTTTGGCCACCTTTTAAAAGTATGGTTGTTAACAGTATTAGAAATCTATGTATCTTTATAAAGGGACATTTTAAGGTGTTTCCAATGCTGACATTCCTCAGGCCTTTTTGTTTAATGTTCACGACATACACATTATGATATAGGAAGTGTATTGCAATGCAAACATAAAGGCACTGTTAGGGTGCGTACAGATTAAGTAACATGTTGTGTCACTTTTGTTTTATAACACGTCCACATTATGTAACATTGTTTTTCAACTTTGCAACATATAACAATACTGTACACATTAGAATAACAATACAATATAACAATGTTATATGACATTGTCGTATGACATTGCGGTGCCTCCGTCACACCTCAAGTTATATAACATTTGTGTCACATCATATAACACGTTTTATAACATTCATACATTACTGAACCATGTTATATAACAACGTTATTATAACATGTTATGTTATATAATGTGTACGCACCATTACCTCCTTCTGTCCATTGCAGACTATAAAAGTCCACTGCTGAACATAAGCCTCCCCCATAGATTGACTCACAGGGGAGATTTTACCATAGTTGCTTCGCTTGGTGGGCAACCGCAGTTTTTGTTAGTTTGAGTTGTTATGAGGAAGATGCTGCTGCTCATTACCTGTTTCAATATCCCTCTGTCGCTTCTGTCGACATCCGCAAACACGATACGAGGTAGTGGATATTCTTACACCGCCACTACACGGTTCATAATTAAACTACTGTTTATATAAAACTTAAAAAAATCCTTTTTCTCTAAATTTGTTGGTTTGAATTTTATGGACGTAGTTCTAAAGGCAAACTAGACATCTGTCTATGACCCCGTGGTAGATTCATACTGCAGGTATATTATAGTTGTAGCACGAATGCGTCGGCCCAACCTGGGACCACGTTTTCAAAGAATACCAGCGTAAAAGAGCAGCTTAATACTCTGCTGTGTTTCGTATGGTGAGTGCAGAAAATCGGAGACGCCTTTTACTCGAAACGAGGCATTCCATCTTAATCCTCACCGGTGATATCCCGTCTTGTTTTCGATTCTGTGTCTCCGTGGGATGGCATGCCTTCTGCATAGCAGTAATGTCACTTAAACAAGCAGCGCTACAACGCGACAATAGCGATCTCATATCTATATTATACTATATTAGTATTATCATGGAATAGCCACTAAACAACTGTAAACTTTATAAGCAAGAGCCTAATCTAAGGTGAAGAGTGTGAATGCGCGTTATTATAGCACATCTGGTTGGAACTACGACGCGGGCAACTTTAAAACTCCTATGGAGCCTGTCATAACGGCTAAATATTACTTGAGAAGTTTTATGATCGCCCAAAGACGTAATATTAACAATGTCCACCAGACCTAATTTTGGTTATGTCGGCCAGTCTCAACACAGTCTAGCCATCTGCACAAGATTACAGTGTCCGAATGTATGCACAAGCACAGGTGTGTACTCTCAATTCCTTCATTCTCGTAGTCTCGTTGTTCTGACAAGAAATTCTCTGTAGCAGCTTGAAGTCAGGAAGTTAGCGGTGTTTCACCTCTATGCCTCGGAAAACACGAAATCTGACAAGAAATTCTCTGTAGCAGCTTGAAGTCAGGAAGTTAGCGGTGTTTCACCTCTATGCCTCGGAAAACACGAAAAGCCATTGTCTCATCAAAAATATACATAAATCTTACACAGAGCAGCGCACCTATACAAGGTATTTCTACTGCGTGAAACTATTCTTTTACTTAAAAGACGAAAGGGTCCAATAGAAATGAAGTTTCCAAAGAAAAAAATTTTCTTAAAAAGAATAAGCATTAAAATAAACAAACTGACTAGTTCATAATCCTGAAAGTAAGGTCGGAGTGGCAGGTCCCGTTGTGCGATGGTCGCCAGCAAACAGCACAGCCGTCGCAACTGCCACTGGTCCAGGGTGCGGCAGCGAGGCTCAGGCGGTGGTGGACATGCCTCTAGCAAACAGTCTGACGACGTCCTGTTGCGGTCACTAGCGTCTAAAAGAGACGTTTAGAACTTAAATTTAATAATTCAAATTCGAAACTTAAAAACCCCCGAAAAAAATATAGCTGATGACCTTGAAACGGCTAAACCGGTTTTGATAAAACATGTCTAAGAACAACCGCTAGAAAACCTGCATTTAAATAAAAAAAACCGCACTCAAATCGATTCACCCGTTTAAGAGCTAGGGTGCCACAGACGGACACACATAGCGGTCAAATATATAACACCACTCCTTTTGTGTTGGGGGTTAATAAAATGAGTTGGGTACTATAGCTAAGGGACAGAGCGTTTTCACGTAACGTCAGAATTTTATACGTGGTAGAGTCACGCTGCAGCTATATTGTGGTTGTAGCACGAATGGGTTGGCTCGACCAGGATAGGACCATGCCCTCACAGCATAGCAGCGTAAAATAGCAGCTTAGTTATGCTGTGTTTCGTATGGTGAGTGTAGAGAACCGGAGACCCTTTTTATTGAAAACGCTTCATTCCATCTCAGTCCTCAGGGGTGAAAACGCATATGCATTTTCATTCTTAATTGAGTATAATGGACCATAACAACCACTCACAATCAGATGGACTGTGTGCTCGTTTGTCACTCTTATTCTATATATAAAAAAAAGTTCCGAAAATAAATAATTAAGTAAGATAACATTTAGAAACAGCATGGTAGCAATCACTTTATTCCCAGGGGTTATTTTCAATCACGTAGTCTTTACTTATAAGTATCCTTTACTAAACAAATTTTGACGAATAAACATTTTTAACTTAGTCAAGTTTACGGGAACGTAAAATGATTTTTTAAAAACTATTTAAAATCTATTTAATTCTAATTACAATAATTATAATTTTAATTACTTAATTAATACGTCTTGACAGAAGTCGATGTCAAAACGAAGTGGCCGCTCCCATGAGCTCTGCCTGATATCTCATGCAACCAAAAGCGCTGACTCTACAGTTACTGGATACTGCCTAATGCTTATGCAGCCCCCTCTAGGTACGAACTCTAACAACCCTATGGTCTTGTGGTTGCATAACTCCTCCCTCTCTAAGAGCGGAATTATCGGCTTCAGTGTTTTCAGCTGTTGTCCGATGATTCCGCCATCTGTTAACTAAATTACTTTTACATTTTCTTAAAACACTAAAAATTACAACAATAGGTAGAATGACATACAGTAATAAAGTAGCTAAGCCCTTAACCGTTATCACACTATTATCACTTTGATCACTATGTTCACTGCCACGGAACTTAAGGTTTTGATTCGATAGATATGCTAGATGTTTCAGGTCGTCTAAGGCTAAGCCTTTCAGGTTAACTGTTTCAGTATCCGTCAGGTTCAGGTGATCTAGTCTTGGTAAGCTTATCACTGGGGTCACTCTATAGCCCAATTCCTTAGCGAAGTATAAGCGGTGCAACAATTTATAGTTTTCGATGAAGGTCTCACAATCCTCACTAATTTTTATTATGTATGTGCCCAAAAGTGATTCTTTGGTGATGTCATCTTGGCATTTGTTTGTTAATATTATTTTATGGTTGGCGTATATAATCCAATTCACAGGGCCGATAGACTGGATTTTGACATCCTCAAGATCAACGAACCGAGGCTCACATAGTGTAAGATTGCTTTGGAATTTCATCAGTTGTTCAGCACATGTGTTTCTAGGATAGGATACCATATTGGAGCTCGTACACAGGAACTCATCTGCCGCTATTTCGGTGCACGGCCGAGAGACCGGTAAGTATTGTGAACCTTTCACCAAAATGTAAGGATACTTGGGAATTATTAGAGACGTTCTGTTTCTAAGTGCATCGAATACAGGTAATGGGTATAATTTGTAATAATTGTAATGAAAACTATCAGTAAGTGGAACTTCCATCAAGTACGTAATCTGGTTTCCTTTCATGTAAGCTTTTATAACAATAGTTCTTTAAATTTTTATTAAATTATCTACATTTACAGGGTAAACTAGGTTATCAACTTTGGCTATATCATTAAGTATCACTAACAGATCAGATGAATTAATAATTGATTGATGTAATACTGAAACTTTACTAAAAGCTAAAGCGGTTTCTATTTCACTAAGTTTAAGGTAAATACTACGAAAGTTACTGATAAACATATTGTACATGCCTAAAATATATGTATTATAAATTGAATTATTTTCTTTGGTAGCTATGTATTTCACTATTCGTTCAATTCTTTTTAGGCGTTCATCTAATATTAGTTCATTTTCATGTTAAGTTTCTGTACTATTCGCCAAACTATTCAGCATTTTAGAAACAATGGTGATTTTACTGTCAACATTCAATTGATTCTGCTTTAATTTAGATATAACGGAATCGTATCTAAGAGCTTCTTCGTGATCCAAATTACCGGTGATAGTTTTAATGATCGATCCTAGGGGATCTATGAGACCTCTTTTAAACCTATTGGATGGTACAAGTTGTTTAAATTTTTCAATAGTTAAATCGCAAGAATAATCGGCTTGGGTTTTCATGGCTTGGAATTCATAAACATAAGGTTTATTTATATCAACTAACCTACAAAATTCTTTAAACTTATTAATATTTAAATCTAAATTTTCCTTAATTCCTAATAAATTTACTTCTTTGACTATAAGCCACCTGTTTGTTTGCTTAAAAGCTTGGCCTTCTTTTACAGGAAGCAGGCCCGTGTTGTTGTCAATTTTTTGAAGTTGAAGACTGCGGGTCCAAAGTATATGAGCCATAGTCAGGATGGCCATGCACCACCTGTGGAGGTCGTTTGAAATTTTTAATAGGGACCTTTGTCTCCCGTTCACCTATTTTAACAGGCACGGTATTACGTTCTACAGGGCCTTGAACAACAGCTTTCCTGTACCTAGCTTTGTCCTTACTTTTCCTAATATTGATGTCCTTTACGTACGCTATTTGTCCTTCGTTAAGTACTACATTTACTTCTCCTCCTTTCCTTTCCCTAGCCTTTTCTTTTTGTTCAATCATTCGATCGGAAATGTACTTGTATAAATATTTAGTGCGCTTTTAATGGTCTTTTAATAGCTGTTGGGTATAGGCCCTATCGAAATCGTTATCAAAAACCTTTCCGGAATCCGTATGCCCAAAGCAGACTTCAAACGGAGTTAAACTAGTATTGGAGTGTACTGTGTGGTTATAAGCCATTATAGCGCTCGGCTTTCTAATATCTTTACAAAACTGCTTATAATTTAGTATGGATTCGCCTGAATGCACACGTAGTTCCGATCTAGGTGGCAAAATTAAAATGTGATTTTCAAAATTATGTACAATAGGAATATTTGTGGATTTTGTTGAAAGTATATGACGCTTTAAATCGATGACAGCCTCTAATTGTTTTAATAGGTCATTACCTATAAGGCCATCATAACCCGAATCTACATTCAAATAACCACCTAAATGGGGTACATTTTTCAAAGCAAATAAATCTTCATTTCATTTCATTTCATTTCATTTCATTATATATATAGAACTTGTGATATTCAGGGCTTTTAAATGTGGGTGGTAGCGGAATAACTATGACCTGATTATGGCTACTTGTAGCATGTGTACTGAAAACCTCGAAGGGTTCATTAAAAATTTCGTTTTGAAAATATTGGTATGCCTTGCTTCGGCTTATAAATGATTGCGTGCTACCGGTATCTAACATGAATTTTGAATCTAACTCCGGGATATATATATAAGGTAATTTTAAATTTGTGTCATTATTTAGTTCTATGTTTTCATGGTTTTTGTCTTTATCGTCTACGTTCACTTGCAACGAATCTGTGTCATCGTCAGAACCTAATGCGTTCAGTTTGATACGGGATAGTGCGTCAGGGTTGCTTGAAGCTGTTATGTAAACATTTTCAATATTTTCCGTCGTCTTAATATTTGTATCAGCCGGTTTGGTTTCAGTTTCCGGGTTTACAGTCTTTTCTGATTGATATTCGGGATTATAGTAACGATCGTCGTTAGGATATTGATCGAAATAATTTGCGTTTTCGTAGCAATACATGTCATCATTATAATAATTTTCATTTAACTCTAATTCGTTTAAGCTAAAACCTTGCTGCGGTCGTGCTACAGGTGCTGTGCGCATCGACACATCTGTGTTAATTCGTGGTTGGTTATGCTGAGATATATTACTATCGTTGTTATATCGCTGCTGCATACCGAACTGTTGAGGACTCATTGAAGGTAAAGGCTGAAGGCCTACAGGTCTATAGCCAAATTGGGGTGGACGATATCCGAATTGCATTTGATTGTTATTAGGTTGTGGTGGTCGATAATAATTTCCTAAACTGTTAAATTGTCGCTGCTGACCTTGAGTCGGTAGCGGCATCTGCACCTGCTTATTCGGTGGAATACCAAAATTATATCTAGGTGGTTGGTTCAATTGCATAGGCTTAAAACTATAAGACTGTTGAGGTAGAGTGTTATTATTACCGAATTTAAATGATGGCGAATTGTTATGCGATTGCGAATAAGATGTGAGATTGGATCCAGACATTTTGTTTCTCATTTGGTACTGACTATGGAAATTAACTTCTTCTAATACAGTACAGAGCGCATCCTCTAATGAATTTGGAGCTTTGAGACGCACTACACTAACTAAATGTTCCGGTAAATTATACAGGAAAACGTTTAATGACGTATTTTCATAGATAGCCTTTTTACTATTGCGCATATTTGAGTCCGACAACCGGTTAACTTTACCTATTAAAATTGATCTCATAGATTGAATTCGACAACAAAAATCTAAATAACTTTCTCCGGGTTTAATTCTTAAGGTCTCAAGTTCGATATTTAAACACTCTTCACTTCGTGAATCTCCAAAATGCTGAATTAATAACTGCTTAAACTCATCCCACGTTGTAATATCATCGCGCTCACCTATTAATGCAGCTCCATTACCGATAAGGCGGCTTGTTATTGTATTAATCACGTACAAATTCTGTTCCGTTGAGCCGTTAAATTTAGTTATAACATATTCACACTTTC